TAATTGAATTGTTTGGTGTTTTTATTGGATCGTTGGTTATGCTTTAATGCTTTGATTATATAATATCCAGATACCGTGCCGGTACCCAAAAAGTGAATTTAACTAAGACCCGCCAAAACATATTTTTATATTTATATATATTTGTTGTTATGTTATATTTGTCGACAGAATTACAAAAGCTTTCGCCACGCTTGTATCTCAAGACATTTTTATAAAAAATGACTGATACATAAGAATTTGAGTATTACTTTTAATTAATAAGAGAGTTATTTGTTGACGTATTTCTTTCTATAAAATAATTGTAAAAGCGCTGCATATTTCCCTCGGCTATAAAGTTATTGACTTATTTATCAATTGAAAAAAGTATAATTACAACAAAAAATAGAAAATATTTTGATTATTGTTTGGCTATAATGGGACCTTTGGATAGATTACTTAACACATTATTTCTTAGTCCCGATTATGTAGTTCAAAAGTAGTGGAAAGTTGAGTGATGTTAGCTGAACGAGCCCTATTAAGTACTGTAATGATTTTCATATATCATTTTTATTACCAAAGTACCGAACTCTTTGGGAAATTTTATTAATCATATTAAAAAGTTAACATTTCCCATATTTTGGAAAAAATTTGGTAATTAATAGACACTCTTTGCTCACGTACACACGAATCTCAAACGGCTTCATTGCGCTTTGTAGGGGACACAAAATCTGGATATTAAATAATCTTAGCATAATTTTCTTTCTTCGACAATAATTATCACGTACCTGTTTGTGTTTATATATCAAGATTGAAATTAATACATACTACAGTAGGTTTCTTATTACATAATGCTTTAAGTTGAGATTTTTTTTTCTTTTGAGTTGAGTTTTCATTCTGACAGCCAGTTGCAGAAACTTGCATTAAAATTTTCATTAGTTTAAAGCGACATTACCCATCTATATTTGATATTCATTAGAACTTAAAGGCAACATTAAACCTTAATGGACGTTGGAGCAACTGACCGTGAGACTGTTAAAGTTCTTAAGTAAGTAGCCATCTAATAAATCCATAAATAATAACAATATTTCTGTATAAAGATTACATTGTTTATTTGCTTTTATTGCATCGAATGGGCTCCGAAACTATTTGACCGACTTTAAAAAATCTTTCATCTGCGGGATGCTACATGGTAGGCGGTGAATATGGGTTATAAACGCGGGCGATGTCGTGGAAAATTAGCTCGCATCGTATAATATTTAGTCCTTAAAATTGCTAACATTTAAAAATATTTATTTGTTCATTGAAACCTCTTTTCATTTAATATTTTTTTAATTTTATTTTTTGATTAAAATCCAGCTAAGATTCAGTTCTATTAAATCATTAAAATCGCGTTTTTGAAGGAAAGTTTATCTATAATATATCTGGTTGGATCTACCCTATAATAAATATGTTATTCATTTATTAAACAAACCTTGCATAATTTAATATTAAGCAAGTTGAAAGTTCTTACATCTAATTTGGGGCGTTAGTTGTTTTCCTTTAAACTTTTATACTCGAAATAAGTTGTCGGTACCAACGCTTTTTGTCGCACCATTTTAAATTAGACTAATATCATCGGCCAAATGGCCATTATATATTCAATTATCGTCTCTGTTCCCTATTCCATGGAAACTGGTATGTACTAATGGTTTTAAAAATGGAGAAAAACTAATTGCATACCCGGTTTTCATGCTGTGTAGTAAAGCCTCGATGTCGTTAGTGCGTTGGCTGGCACGATTTTGGTACACATTTTGAAAAAATAAATTTCTAGAGACGTGGGTTTTTTAATTTGTTTTATGTCACTAAATCACATTGAATTTATTATTTATTCAATTAATCAGAACGAAAACATCATCTTTTGCAACTCTAAAGATTTTGAATTCCCAAATTCAAGGAGCTTAATTATAATGAAAAATCAAATGATTATTTATTTGTTTTTGTTGTCTTTAGTAACATTTGATAAATTTTTATGTTTCTTAAAACGTAATATATTCTACTATGAATAAGAATTTTTAAAATATATACACATTTATTCGATAACATAAGTGTGGTTCGATCATTTTTGACATATCACAATTGTGTATCAAATCTGTGCAAGTTTAGTAGAAGATTCAAATTTATTTTGTGTGATCGTAAAATGTACTTTTTATAGAAGAAATGGAAAAATGTAAATGATGGGTAATTTATAAATAACAAGTAAAAAAGTTTATTAATAATAATTCACAAAGCAAAAACGCAAAGATGAATAAGACACTTTCGAAGAAATCGCTTTATTTTCGTAGGTTTATCAATATTTATACATTTGGTGATATATGCGTACTTATATACTTAGTTTACTATAACGGCGCGGTAAAGATAATACGTTAGGAAATTCAGTGCGTTAATCTCACAAAGTTCTTACCACATGGTGACAAAAATACATTCTATTCACATAATCCACTTTATTCAAAATATATTCAAAGAGTATGCAATCCAAAGACCTGAATCTGTTGAAATAATATTATCAGGAGACGAAAAGTTTAGCCAACCACCGCAGTGACTTCTTTGCGTAATTAAGTTTCCTCGCTGCCTCATTGAATTTAAATGAGAAGAAGGTGCCTAAATTGCAACAATATTTTCGTAGGCAATTGTTCAACATTTCTTTTTTCTTTATGCCTACTTGTTCCTTAGAAGTCCAGCATACCGTATCATTTTTAGATATTGTAGCACATTTTAAATAACGTCCTTGTGCCTTTTCAATGAGCTTCTCGAGATATTTGACATTACATTTGGAATGAAGTTAATCATTCAAATTAATGTTATTGCACGTCATCTCGTGACCGGTGGGCGGGATTGCGTTGTCGTCGTGCCACCGCAGTGGCTTAGGTCATGGTTAAAATGCGCGCACGCAGTCACTGTTCGGAACGTAACAAAAATAATGCAGCTAGTAAATTCATGATGTTGTAGGTGTCAAAAGTTTAATAATTATTCTATGGGCATTAAGCGTTTGATGAAATGATCTTCTCGTGTTTCTCAGTAAATTAAAATAAATTATGGATATTGAAATTAATTCAATCATATAATTTATGGTTTGCCGTCATTTCATTTGTAGTTTATACAGTTTTGACACTTGTGGTACTATTTTGTTACTTATACAAGTGAAAGGTACATTTAGTTCTATTTTTGATATTTCAATAAATATTTCTGCAAATTATGCTAGCGTAACTAAACCTGTTCATTATTATCGACATAAATAATTTCAAACGTATTCTTAATTAGGTACCAGTTTATTTCACAGTGAATATTTCCCAGTTGTTTGTTACAAAAGTGAGCCGACCATCTAATTTGTACCCAACGCAAAATAATCTGAATACCTTACAACGGTTGTGACTTCTTATTTTACGTTGTGATATAATTAAAATTATTTCTCTCGATTCTAGTGAGTGGAAAGTATTTACATTTTGCGTTTTTTAAAGTATTTTCCAGGGGAACACTTATTTATATGGCGTTTATCTTTCACATTTTACGTTTGTCCGCAGTAATGAATATATTGTTTCGAGACCAATATGATTTTAATAAAATTTGTACATATCATTTTTGAAAAATGAAAATTTTATATTTAGTTCTGTTTAGGATTAAAATGGAAACCTTTATCATTTCGTTGATCGCTATTGTCCAACCGTTATTTTAGTTTTATAAATATGTCTACTTTTTTTAAATAAATGTATCTTGATTTATATTAAACTTCATTTAAATCCGAATACTGTTAGTATTGATAAAATTTATAGCAGCAAACTTCTTAATCAGATATTTGTCCTTTGAATTTATTTATGTTAAATTTGAGACTGGAGATGCTATAACATGTTAAAAAATCTTGGTTTTAGATGAATTTAAACATTTAATTTGTTTAGATTGACCGTTGTGATTTGGGCGTTTAGTCGGAATCATTGAAATAATGCTCTCTTACAACACTTGCTACTGCAACATTCACCTTAAAACTCAACATTCTTGAGGAGCTTCAAACTGAATTGAATCGAATTGTGTTTCTATCACATCCTCTAATACCCAGTACTTTACTTAAAAGTTGAATTTAAAAAATACTAAATATGTGAAATTATACCTTTTTTATATTTGTTACAGAAAGTGCGGTAAATTTTCAAACGCAGCCTACATTCCCGTCTCATCAGTAAGTATATATTATACGACAAAATTTTATTAGGTAAATTACACTGAATCGTTTATGCCAAGTATAATCCTCGTGGAGTTTCGTATGTATGTATAATACAAAGTATTTTTACCTTAATAATAAGAAATTCAGGTCAAAGTGTGGGCCCATCATTCTTAGCCACCCCTCTCATTTCCATGTTTCAAGGAGCCCGGTCCCGTAGAAATGTTATTAAAATTATTCCATACGATTACGTTCTTGATAGATCGTTTTATGAGATCACAATGCTTTTAAATATGCCTTTGATTTATTGTTTCGTTTTGATTATCTTTAATCCATTACTTATTCTCTTAAATGAGCACTATGTCGGAGATCATCTGTCGATTTACAATTTTATAGTATAAAACTATGTTATTATTGAATTATAAATTTCACTGTATTAAAACTACGAGCGTAGTTCACCTTGTTTTGATAATCAAATGATGCTATATCAATTTTGCCATTAAAAGTTTTTCTTATGACGCCATCTTCAATATTGCTGTTCATTGCAGAGTTTGTATTGATTATTGTAACTTTGAATACTAGAATGCTGCGAAGTAATTCTATGGCGACCCGAAAAGTTTCCACTTTCGCCTACAAATAGCGGTGTTGGCTTGAAAAATGGCAACCTTCCTCAGTCAGCCCCGATAATGTACGGAACAGAACAATCCATCAGAGGGAGCCACCCCCCGAAAAGGGCTACTATGCAATATGTTTAAATTTCACGGTCCTCCCTAGAAACGATATTGTTCAAAAGTTTTAATTGATTATCAAGTTACCCACTTCAACATAATTACCTAAATCTTTATTATACTGAAAAATATTAATGTATAAATATATGCTACAATATGCATGTTTCGTATTTTACACAATTCTTACTGAATTTTTATATTTTGTTACAGATTATTCTTTTAAGAATATGGACGAGAAATGTCGGTCGATTCGGAAATGAAACAAAAAACTAGAAAGAAAATTGTAAAAATTTGGCACGGCCTAACGACGTCATAGCCCCGAGACCCTGCTAAAGTCATGTGAAGTGATACGAGGCTTTCCAAAAAAAGTGTCATATCTAAAAGGCATATCTTACTAGTATCTGACAAAACACATATCTATTTATTTTACGCTAGTCACCCTTTTGTGATTGTAGTTAATGAAACTATTTTGCTCAAAATTTAAACTAAGCATTTAAATTAGAAACGCTATTGACTGGTATAGTCGATAATAAAAAAGGCAAAACCCAAAAAGTATAATATTTTCGAAGATCCCAATGAAATATTACACTATGTTTTTCCTGAGAAGGAGGACGTTGATACTGAAAGCAGTACTTGTACTCACAGCACTGTGGTTTATGATAGCGTTATTAACTACTAATGGAGGAACGAGAAATGCTCTCGGTGCACAACCAGTTGAATACGATGATCCCGAAGCCAAGCCATTGAAGATGGCAAAGCCAACTTCAACGAAAAAGAAAAGCGAATCTTATGGCAACAATTTATCAGACGGTAAGATTTAGCTAAACTTTCAAGCATGCGCCACTTATGTTTAAGCTTTTAATATGTTTGTAAAATCTTTCGTTCACTCGCTTTATTAATTTGTTTAATATTTAATATAGCCACAAAAATTGGGGTAGGTATTGCGAAGACTGACGCTGTTATTAAAAATTCATCATGTGTAACTTAATGTGCTTAAATTTCATTAGTGTAATAACAATCTGAAATACATTATCAAAATTAGTAATTTTCAAATCTTTAATTTAGTGAATTTTTCATTAATATTACTGTCCTATCTATTTACATTTAAAATGTTTGAAAGATTAATCATGGATTATGGATGTCTCTTAACTGCGTCTTTGCCATGTTTTATGTAGTTTTCAAAAACATGTATATTCTCTGTACAATAAAATTTTCAATTACATTAAATGAATTTTTATATTGAAACTAAATTCAAGTCTTGATTTCTATTGCTAGTTTTTATTTTCTTTTACTTTCGCATGTCATTGTGTATACATTACTTTATTATTGGTTGCTTCGTTAGATAAACATGCATGATAATATGCGTTTGTCCATCACAGCACGAACGCGGGTCGATTGGATTGGTCGGCTTTCTGGGAACGAAGGTAATTCTCAAACGCTTTGTCTAAACTTACCAATTTGATGCGGTTACAAAAAAACTGTTGGTGTTGGATATGGAATATTGGTTTTTAAACTGGTAATGGTGATTGGATTCTTTACATTTACATTTATATGAATATAACTGTTCGGAATTCTTAAATATCGTTGGATTCAAAATTATATTTCAGTAATTAGAAATCTAGACAAAACACAATAAATAGTCAGAAGTTTAAATAAATAAACGAGACACGACTATATATTCACCAATAATAAATGAATATGAAATAAGTTATAATATTCCCACAGTCGGCTTTTAAAGGATATCCAGTACTAATAAGCGATATCCTGTAGGTCTAGGCGTCCTAGCTGCCCCCGGCTCGGACAACGCTCCCGGTGAACTTGGCAAACCGGTCGTTCTACCCAAGAACATAAGTGAGGATGCGAAACAAGCTGTCTCTGAGGGATGGAAAAAGAACGCTTTCAATCAGTATGTCAGCGACCTTATATCGATTCGGAGGAAACTGCCAGACCCTAGGGACGAATGGTAAGGAAATGAAATATAATGATACATTAGATTTCACAAATCGATTGGAAGATATATAAAAAACGTCTCGCGGGACGGGTTTTAGCTTGATTTGATCCGTACTATTCGGGATTGTAAAAATAGGTTGATATATAGTAGCTGAGATCCGTAATATTCAGAGTACAATTCTACTTAAATCGTTGACAAAACTCTAAAATTATAATTTTTCACAGGTGTAAACAACCAGGTCGTTATCTTGAAAATCTTCCTCAGACTTCGGTAGTAATATGTTTCCACAATGAAGCTTGGTCAGTTCTCCTCAGGACTGTTCATTCAGTTCTTGACAGGTCACCGCCACATTTGATTAAGGAGATAATTTTAGTTGATGACTTTTCTGATATGCGTAAGTATGCGATGCGTAAGATTATAATTTAAACTATCTTTTTTCTTTAATGCCATCCAATGTTATATATTAATCACTCATCCAATGCTAAAATATACCTACTAAAACCTCGTCTGTTTGTCTGCCTCTATGAACGTCGTCTTTTAGAACTGCGGAATAGTAACGTCGGGATGGATCAGTAGTTATAAAATAAATTACATTTTTTTATTTCATGCAGTAAATAAATTTATTATCCTTTTGTTTTCGTATTCGTATAATTGTAGGTAAATAAAATTTACAATATGATTCTCCTACAGATCACACAAAATCAAAAAATATATCACTTTTTAATTTGTATAATTATTTTAGCACACTTAATGCAACAATTAGATGACTACATGTCGTCTCTTCCTAAAGTAAGGATAGTACGAGCGGCACGTCGCGAAGGTCTCATTAGAGCCAGATTGCTTGGAGCCCGGTATGTTACCGCTCCTGTCCTCACTTATCTGGATAGTCACTGCGAGTGCACAGAGGGTAAGAACCGAGAATAGCTTTGAACATTTAATTTTATTTAAAACCTTATTTAACGTTGTTCTATATTTTAGGGTGGCTGGAACCACTTTTGGACAGGATTGCTCGTAACAAAACGACAGTAGTTTGTCCAGTTATCGACGTAATCGACGATAATACATTAGAATATCATTATAGAGACTCTACGTCGGTCAATGTTGGAGGTTTCGACTGGAATCTACAGTTTAATTGGCACCCTGTACCTTCTAGGGAAAGAGCGAGGCACCAACATACGGCAGAGCCAGTCTGGTCTCCAACTATGGCTGGTGGTCTTTTCGCCATCGATAAAGATTTTTTTGAAAGGTTAGGAACATACGACAGCGGTTTTGATATATGGGGTGGCGAAAATCTAGAACTTTCGTTTAAAACCTGGATGTGTGGTGGTACTTTGGAAATAGTCCCGTGTTCTCACGTTGGCCATATATTTAGAAAGCGATCGCCATACAAGTGGAGAACTGGAGTTAATGTTTTGAAGAAGAATTCAGTTCGACTAGCAGAGGTACTTATTTATGGTTTAGATTATGAAAATGAAATAATTTCAAATGGATTTTAGTTATACAAACAAAAATAATAACTACTCTGTGCCTTTTTACATCTTTCTATATGTTTCAAGGTGTGGCTAGATGACTACGCAAAGTACTACTATCAACGCGTAGGTAACGATAAAGGGGATTATGGTGACGTTAGCGGTAGAAAGACGTTAAGGGAAAAACTGGGTTGCAAATCCTTTGAATGGTACTTGAAGAACATTTATCCGGAGCTCTTCATTCCTGGTGAATCAGTAGCTCACGGCGAGGTATATTTTTGTTTCATACTCATAAGAAAATATTATTTTTAAACAAAGTTAAATTTAACCAACAATAATTACAAAGATATATCACAATCAAATTTGAAAGTGGTTTGTCTTTCGGATAATGGAGTGCATCTTTTATTAATGTTTCCTTCAAAATTATTACCTGTACAGATCCGAAATGTCGCCTTCCAAAAAATATGTTTGGATTCCCCGACGCGCAAGTCGGACCATCATAAGCCTGTTGGACTTTATCCGTGTCATCGGCAGGGAGGAAATCAGGTCTACTGTCGTTTACAATACGACCTATAGCGGCAGTACCACTTTGTTGGAGTCTGTTTATAAAGATCTCATTTCCTGGTTAATGTTATTTGCACTCCTAGCACTTCTGTAAACACAATCAAAGAAATTTACGCACATGCACGTATCTCTATTTCATATAAATGACAAAAATAGGTGCGCAATCAAGCATTCAGACGTCTTTACTGTCTCGATGTGGAATCTGAAGAGGACGAAGTACCTGTTAAAGTTCACAAATGTCACGGAATCGGTGGTAGACAGGTATCGCCATGACAATTTGGAGTGCGACATTCAACGGTACTAGTTGAGGTGTTACCAAATACTGGGCAACTTATTCTATTATGAGGAATAAGCGATCACCTTTCGATTTTATGTGTTTTGTTTTCCTCTCATTATCATTATCATTTTATTCTAATGTTATCATTTTTGAGAACTTAAAATATTTCGTACAACTTTCATTATCACAGTAAAATTTTAGGACTAAATTTTGTTGATATGATTGATCTGCTTAATTATTCTGAAGTGATAACATTAGCTTAGCACGCTTGCTTTTGGCACGCCTTTTTAACTTATCAATGGCATCAGATCGAGAATGGATGGTCGGATATGTGCATCGACTCAGCAGCAGGGCCTGAGGATATGAAGAAACCAGTCAACGTATGGCCATGTCACGGAGAGTATGGAAACCAGGTTTGTTAAAGGCTGCCATTATTTTTATCCTCAACGCTTCCGCTTTCATCCCGTAGTTGGTTGTTGGTGTTTATCATCAGTGTGGTAAGTTTGGTGGTTGTTTATTCGTAAACGTCATTTATAAAAATAACATTATCAACTAACCATAAACACGCCCTTCGCGTGTAATTGCATCTATTCATTAAGACACAAGCTTAATCATGTTAGCATGTTTTTATTAATCGCCTCATACTAATGCGATAGAATAGGTATTACATTGTTGTAACATTATTCCATAGCCTAATGTTATCAATAATTACATTCGTAAGTCATGTTGCTTATTTGGCTCTCAAAAATTAAAATTCCAGTCACAAACAAGGCGTGAAATAACTCACTGCCGGTTATATTTTTTTTTTCTTTTCTCACTCTTCCAATTTGGTACTGCCGCTAGGAATTTATATTAGTTTTACTTTAACATATTTTATTTTTATTTCTTAAACCATACTAATCTCTTGTGTATAATATTTGAAACACTACCATACAATTATTAAATAAATATATTTTCGGTTACTTATAATGTTGAGTGGATTTTGGGAATGGGTTTTGAATTACAAAGTATTGTTTTGATTGTAAGTTATAATGATTTATACGTAAATGATATAAATTTATCACTTTTCGTAGATTAAATAATAAGTTCATAATTTATTAGTTTTTTACTGAATTAGATACATGATTAGTATTTAAAGTACTTTTAAATTTATAAAAAAGAAAATTTCAAGAGTGGTAGATTATTGGATGTGGTAGTTACTTTAATATATGTCGTATATATTTACAGTATTGGATGTATTCGAAGAATGGAGAAATCAGACGCGATGAGACATGTCTCGACTATTCGGGTCATGACGTCGTGCTGTACCCTTGCCACGGAGCTAAAGGCAATCAACTCTGGCTATATGATCCTAATGTAAGTTAAAGTATTATTAAAGTTTCATTACTGTCCAATCCATTTAATGTTCCCATTTCACAACAATTTGATTTGAAAAGATTTGGAAAAAGTCAACACATAATTATACTAATTCACTTTCCTCGTGGTTTCACACTTTTCAAATTTTAAACCTTAACATTTTTAAATGTTTGCGAAAGTAAAAACAAATTGTGCTATGTTTTTTACAGACAAAGCTTCTAAAACACGGCTCCAGCGAGAAGTGCATGGCGATATCGCGAAGCAAAGATAAAATTGTTATGGAGTCTTGTAACGATGGTGAATCCCGTCAAATGTGGAACATGGAGAACTTCAACCCTGATAGACTGACACCGGAGCTGACGGCCGAGTAGCCAGAGGCTTATGATGAGCTTCTATTCATATAGAACGAGAGAAAGACTCACTTAAATTAAATACAGTGACTGAAGTGTTGGACTTTGTATCACTTGTTTTGAACGCAACTCGGACATAGTTTAACGATATAAAATTTCTTGGATTAAATGAGGCCATTTTATATAAGGTTGTTATAAAGATTGGTAACATAGTTTTTGGTATATTAAACGCTTGAGTGTATGTACTGATGGAAATATTTGGGTAATATAACCCCGAGTTTGTTTTGATATTCGTCTCCTTGACCCCATGTTGTATGGCCTAAGTCTCTGCGGGCTAAGAGTGAATATAACAGCTTTCATTGTTCAATGGTTAGTCAATACTAAATGTTTAAGTTATATTAGTGTACGTTTGAAATTACTTCGTTAACATGACTAAGACATGGTATATTTTATAAAAAGAAATAATATTCTTCTTCGTCACAATACTTATTATCATATTTTTTTTTATTAAAGTTATGTTGTACCTAAATTAATATAATTGAAAAGAAAAATAATTTTGAATAATTTAAATATTTACCATGTAAGAAATTGTATTTGTTGTTTTTTTTTTGTTTTATTTATGTTTAAACATTGACAAAGTTTTAACGTTTAATTTATTAATGTTTACCAATTGGTTATTAGGAAATTGAAATTATTATTTTATTAGTTTCTTTAATAATAGTATTCTACGTGTATCATAAAGTATTATTGAGTCAGCTTAACAAGAATTTGTACATATCCAATTCTTGTACTTATATACAGGTGTTCTATCATTTTTATGTCAAAACTACATTTGAAATAGACGAAGGAATACGTAGTTTTTACACGATTCTTGTGATTTATTTTAACGTATTTAGTCATTTGGACATAGGTGTTAGTAAAATTCGACTAGTGAAATGTAATATACATTATTATAAATAGTTAGGAATAAGTTTACGTAAAATTTTCGTTTTAAAGGTCGGCACATGTCTGAAAGAAGATACGTCAAGCGTTTCATGGAAGTATAGGTTAGTACGCGATGGAACGGCCTTGTAGTGAGCAAGGTTGAACGTCATATCATATCTGTGTCATATCATCACATATCTGTTCTGTCGTTCCGCGATCTACGAAACGTAACGCATCTTCCATCAGATACGCATGTGTCCAGCCCAATATCGTAGCATTTAAAAATATAAATATATTATTAGGAGAATACTGTATCTTTTTTTTTGTGTTTATACTCTTGAAACGTAGCATTTGTTTTATAATTTGACTGAATCGTAGGATAGATCATCAATTGGGATGGCTGATACGTCTTTTAACTTTTGTCATAATTGACATAAAAGAAAACGAAATTGTGCATGCATTTAGTAATACGTATAATTAAAAGAACTTTATAAAACGATAAATCACGCAAACAACATATCGAATATTTAAATTTCATTTCAATATATAATTCATTTTAACATAACCGTTTTACAGACAGTTGCAAAAACGTCCCTTAAAATTTTCATTAGTTTAAATAGATATTACCCATACAAATTTGACATTCATTAGGGCTTAAAGACGTCATTAAACCGTTAGTGGACGTTTCTGCAACTGACCGTTAGGGTCGCTACAAATCTCACGGAGGATCAGTCAACTATCTCAAAGAAGTATCTCCTAATACGCGTTACATATTCTTTCAAGTCTGCACTGTCAAATGTCATATAATTTGATAGTATTGGCGTTTCGTAATCGATGAGACGCGATGTATCTTCCGTCAGATTGGTGCTGACCATTAAGCAATAAAATAAGCAATATAAATATATCGAGTTATATATTCACGTCCCAAGTGCTGTAACAAAATTATTTAGTCTTTTTGCAATATTTTGATTTGATTAATAATTATATAAAAGTTGCGTTCGATTTAGTTTGTGTCTTTCTTTATTTTTAATATGTTTCATTAACAACGTAAAACGTTTATCCTTTTCAGGTTGTAAGACCAAAATGTCTCCTGTAAATTGTTCGTTATTTGTAAAGGAATTATATTTATTATTTAACTTAAGGGCTACTTCCTTTTTGCTCATGTCAAGAAATATTTAATTTTCTCTGCTCTGCTAAATGTCTATTGGATAATGACGTATAAACATTTAGTAATTTTCAATAAATATTTAGTATTGTTTTAATACCCGCATATATTTCCCGTGACTATTTTTCCATTATTTGAACGAATGCATTCCTCTTTGTGATTTATTTAGGTACATACAAAAACTAATATCGAGATTCATGATTATGTAAGAAAATATTTTATTTTATAGTATTTAATATTTCTTTCTATTCCTATAAGATATATTTTTTCTAGAAAATAGGTCGTGTTAGTAACGTGACTGATGAAGCTTTTGAAATTATGAATTGTTTTCACCTTAGAATAATGATACCTAAGGTTTTCAGCCAATAATTCAAATTGTTTCCTTAATTTGTGTCGGTTTTTTAAGTAAATTTATGTGCCAGTATTATATCAACACCTAGATAGTTATTTTTTTTTTTTGGAAACATGCCAAGATCTTTTTTATTTTATACGATTACTGCCGAAGTAATCTCCCCGACCATCTTATTCAATTGTTAACGAAAATTGTAAAACTTATTTTGTTACTTTATGATATTATTCTTTTTCTCAATTTTCTAAAATGTTCTTTAAATTTTCTCATAGTGTAAATTAAAATTTAACTGAGCTTTTTCAATGTTATTAAATCCAAATAACCTTTTTAATTTCATTTAAGCAATCAATAAATATATTGAAATGTTACTATTCAAGTTTAGTTCCTTTTGCAAATGTATCTTGTAAATACATATCGGATTAATTTGTGTTCCATTTTATTTCAGATTGATTATTGTACATAATTATTGTACTGTGATGTAGGTCAAAATTATTGTGTGATTAATAAATTCGTTTTATCGTTGCCTGATATATTTTGATGGACATAGAATAGATTTTGCAATGATTATTTTCGTTGATAATCTGAATTTGTCTTTAATATCAACTTCATTAATGTACTGCATGAAAATTATATGAATTATACTTTTTGTGTTGATAAACTGTATAAAGAAAAACTTATAGTTCATATCAACTTGAGGTAGGATGTTATAAATGTGCCTTATATGATTACGTAGATATAAATTTAATTAAACGTTGAAATTTCCTGTATATAAAACGGTGTTTCCATTGTATTATAATAGTTTGATAGTGTAATGTTTAGACGGCGATATCTTTAGTATTTGTAAAATAAAGCATTATGTTGGATTTGTAAAAATCTGTTTTTATTTCATAGCCCTGTGAAATTTATTTTCTACCAATATAGTTCGTAATATGGCTACTTCTTAGGTACTTGAGTATGTAGTTTTTATATTTAAATGCTTATAAATATTTATGACTTTACTAGTCTACACTAAATTATAACGAAGAAAGTTTTCATTGATTGTTTGCTTTGAATAGGCTCTGAAACTACTGGGTCGATTTAAAAATTTCTTTCACCTACGAGAAGTTACATCATACGGGTGATATGTAAGAAAATTGTTGTTCATAAAGCTACGTAAATTTGAGTTTCTTTGAAATCATATATTTTCGAAACTAATACGAAACCAAAGAAAATCATTTTTGTGTGAATATATGATGCGACAGAGGTAGTAGATGACACTGTCTCTGATGCAAAGATAATCTTTATGTATATGATTTTGATAAAATTATAAGAATGTTTCGAAATATCTCAGAATTTCGTTCGTGAGCAAATAGAGTAGGCCTTTAGGAAAGCTCGGCGTTCAACTCTCTTTCGTTTAGGAATAAAGAGATCACGGTACCATAATCTTTATATGCTTTATACACGTAGTGGAAAGTTATAACAGAACGATTCGATGGTTTGGTCGTAGATGTGCTTTATATAATGCATCAATAAGAAGAGACTGGGTACAACCGTTTCTAAGCGAGATACATTTAAAAGAACTAGCTATTTTAATGAATTTGCATAAGACTCTTAAAAAGGAATCACACTGAATATAATTTTGTTTTCAAACTAAATTAGAATTTACAACAGACAAGTCTTGTCGACCTTATTGCACTAATAAGTGATGGAACTCTTAAAAATATCACTTCAACACCATCACCAGCTTTTTAATGTCTCTACGGGTGCGTAGATCAACTCGAATTTAGTCGAATAAGGAGAATGTCCTATGACCCACCTCTCGGCCACAGTGCTGATTGGTGAATACAAATGCAGACAAAGCACGGAGGATTTATTATCTTGAATAAAGTTTGGTGATCTCCGCATTGCAGACCGTACGTACTGCGCCATCGAGCTTCTCTTAATATGATTTCCTTGTCTCATTTTCGATAATGATTATTTGGTCGTTTATTTTGTACAAATTCAGTTGGAAGTTACTGATATTTGTCTTTACAAAATTTTCATTCAATAACCGTTGTACGATTTTCAATTAGTTACGTAATGAAAACTTCACTGCATACAGAATTTTCCGAATTTAAATCCTATTCTATTTGCGACGCGTTAAAGCTCCATTGGTGTTTGCCAACAATCGACACCGGATAAGTCTCTCTCCTGACAGTTGCCCGGTTCGCTCCGGGCGCTTGCCATCGAATTCTTGCACTTTTTATGTGCCAGTAAGTTTAGACTTTTTACGTGGCACTAACTTTTCACTTTTTAGTTACCACTCGGGTGCACTGGTAGGATTATCGGAGACACTTGACAACGAATTTTGTTGCTGCTCGTTTATCGTTTTCAGTGCTTTGAAGTTTTGTAGCATTTTAGTTATACAATAACGTTAGTGCTCACTGTGTGAATCATGAGTGAATCTCATCACCAGAAGACCTACTCTGGTTCTCCGAAAACGAAAATTTCTAAACCTTTAGACCCTAAAGGAACACATCTTTCGATAGTTAATAATGAAATGGAGGTGACACTGCTTCTGAAGCACAGAAAATATTGACGTATATGATTTAAAAAAAAATTAAGAACGATTCGAAATTTTTGTAATTTTCATTCGTAGACGAACAGAGTAGCCCCTCAGATGAGTAACCAGAAGTTATTGGGTATTTAGAGTTTTCCATGTTTCAGAAGACTCGATAAGCCACTGATCCTGTTTGCATCTGTAGTCTTTTGAATTTATTAATTCGTATTGATAAAGGTGTTTATGAGCGGAATGGTAGTTTTTAATTGTTTTTTCATGACTACCCAAAAAACATGTTTATTTTAATACCCTTGTCTAAGAAGGTAAAAATAAGTAAGAAAATTTACTATTTTGTTGATCACTGGCCAATAAAAACATTTTGCAAAAAAAATATCGCTGCATGTACATGTTGAAAAAAAAAACAATGACAAACACTAATAAATACCTACGCCAAGTATCTTAAGTGAAGTAAACTCGAGAACCAATAATTTTAATTCACTTAAGATTTTTAGGCTATTTATTTGACCAATATACCTCTACAAATCACTAATTTTATTTTAAAAGAGGCTAAATTTGTTACTTGTGATGTTCTTAATCGCCCCTTCAGTGTTGCTAGTATTTTAATAATCTTTATGTATATTAGAAGCCAAAGAAAGGTATTTTAGCGCCTACTGTATTGAAATGAGCAAAACGCATATTGGTTAAATAATAGCATATAATAGTTTCAATTTAAATGAATTCGTTGGTTCTTTGTGATCGTATACATTTTTGAAGTTCTTTAGAATATTACTTAATCTCTGACACTGTGTCTTTCAATGAATGAATCTTTTTTTTTTACTTTACATTAAAAACTAGTGAATAATAAACTCAAAAAAGAATTTCACTGAAGAAACAATAAATACGATATTAGCAAAAAATTATAAATAGGTAACATGTACAATTCAATTAAACATCTAAAAACTATCACATTCCTTATCGTTATCTATATAAAGAAAAGTATGAGCTGGGAGTTCGTCCAATAAAGTTGGATAGGCCACCGTAGCTTGAAGCAACATTAAACGTATTCATTATTTACGACAGTTGAGTAAGCTATTCTTAATCCCTAGCAAGCTCTTCCATTGATTGTTGTGCGACAACAAATTTGCCTAGTGACTGCGAGGCCCAATCCTAATAATTTCTGCGTCCCTAAACAAAAAAGTCATAATGGCGAAAAGTGCCGCGGTCGTTTGTCGCCAGCAAAAGTTTTAATGTCCCTACTAGGATGCTATGTTCCAGGATATCACAAAATGAGCACCGCGTTAAGGAGAAGCTACGGCTTTCTAGTGTAGGGCTCCGCAAATTTTCAAAAGTATCGATAATTTACTCGATACCAGTCTCGTGT